ACTGCTGCACTACTGCTGAAAACCCAAACAAGCCCAGCTTTGTCGTCCGTACTTGTGCGCGGGCTTTTCTGCGTGCTCAGCTCACATGAAATATTCAGTGAGTCTCGTGCTGTTGGTTCACACAGACTAGGAGCAGAGGGAGTGTTGTACCTGTGAGGTGGACATGCGGGAGGTGTCCTGTCGCCCAGTCAGATCGGAGGATGACACGTTGATCGGAGCGCCGCGGTGCAGCCTCATGCTAACCTTTCGCTCACGCTCCATCCCGGACACTTGTCGAGGAGACGTGTTAGCTGGAGACCATAAACACATCGTACTGTGAGATGAATAAGTCCATGTTTCAAAGACTGACTGCAAAGGGCTGGAGTTCATGTTAACCTGTACACGCTTGCACCGTGTCACAGTAACATCACCTGAACCGTTAAAGGAAAGACAAACGATGTGAGAGCACCATCACCTCCATCAAGGAGCCAGCCGCACAACAGCAGACAGATCATCAGCTGATACGCTGAGGTCACTGAGGCCACAGCAACACTACAGGAGCAGCTCCTCTTCGTCTACAGGACGTGCGCACTGCATATAAACACGTCTGGACACCAGATTCCTACAGAGTTGTGATCTGAATGCACCAGGATCAGCTCTATAAGTTCTCTACATTGTGTTTCTTTTATTTATTCTTTGGTGTTATTTCAGTTACAGCTGACAGCATCTGAGCTGACAGGCAGGAGAAAGGAATAAAAGGAAGGAGGGAGAAAATAGAACAAAATCTAATAAAAGGATGGAGTACAAATAGAAATGCACAACACTGCACCTGTAAGAAAAACCAACATAGAGCATCTGGAACACAGAAATATGAAAGTGCACAGATACATGTACCAACGATCTCCTTTTCTTTAACGGAGAACACCGTCCTCTACCGAGGTTGTTTCCTACATTTTTTGCGTATTTGGGACACTTACATGTGATCTAACGATGCTAACGCAGCTGGAGTGAACTGACCTGTCTGTGAGGTGGGTGTTAGCGGGGTGGGCACTGTTCCCTCCTGGGTCCCTCGGGGGCGCCCGGGCGCAGCAGGGACTCTGGCCCCGGGGTTCCTGCTGTGCCTCAACCGGTCGTCCCGATCCCGACGCTCCCTTTCTGCTTCCTCTGCTGCACGGTTGGCTCCCTTTAGCAGGTCACAGAACAGATTATGGACCGACTGAGACTCTGCGGGTTTATTAGCCTCTGCACGCATGCTAACCCTGTACTGTAACCATCGCGCGCACTTTGGCCCGGCACAGATTCGTTTATGCTCAGCAGGCTTCTGTACTTTTTGCACTAATGCGTGCACTCGTGCAGGAGCTCTATTCCCCTTCATGAATTCCTCTCTCTGTTACAAAGACGCCATCACAGGACCACGTACCAGCCTCCACACACACATCTTACTAATGTGACAGGCTTGCCATCCTGGTTTGTCGCCAACATGGACGACTGACAGGGTGGGACTTCCACCAGCTTTGGTCTAAAGCAAAGTAACGACCTTCACAGTCCACGCCGAGACATCTGAACCTGAGCCACAGAAAAACAGGGTCATGAAGTATCGACTAAAACTATGAGATGTTGCAAACTCACAGTGTGCCCTGTTACAAACTGCAGAGCTGCTCTTTAACCCCGTGTTCATGTCTATGCACAGTTTTAATATCTCTTTACATGTGAACAGTCGGCCATAATTAGAGGCGTGGCTGCTTTGAGTGACAGGTGGATGATGACTTGTTAGCCCTCACTGAGCTGGACCCGGCAGCTGTGTTGGTACTGAGCAGCTGTCAGCAGGACTCAAACAACCATTGCAGATCATTTCTAAATGTTTAACACACAATAACAAACCAGCAGCTAACAAACGAGGAGGAGACGAGCGCTGTTTGTCAGTCTGGTCTCCGTGTGTGATGCATCCTAGCAGGTCACTAAACATCTCACCGTCCTGTGTAAACAGACGCAGCAGAGAGGACCTGCTGTGTCAGGAAACACAGTTTGCTTCAGGCTGACGTCTGTTTCTTTAACGTTAACTAATAAAGATTTCATGAATTACAAATTAACTTTCATCCATTACAGAAAAAAAAGACTCGTGACCATCTCACAGACAAAACATTATGTACAGCTACTTTCAGTGTTGCCCTTACAGTAAAAAGGGCCTCGAGGTCATCCTTGTTGTGTTTCAGCACTAAAGAAAAAAACTGAGTGATATTGCAGCTCCAACATCTCAGACCACAGGATGGAGTCACACCTGTTCAACCTGTTTAATGTTCTCCTGCTTCTCTGACAGCTGATACTCACAAACTTCAGCATGTTCCAGTCGAACACGTAGTCGTAGGAGAAGCCCTGTCTGTGGAACAGGTTTCTGAAGAGCTGCCGTAAGTACGAGTAATCGGGCTTGTCATCGAAGCGCAGGGAGCGACAGAAGTTCAGATAGGTGGCGAACTCAGCTGTGACAGAGTGGAAACAAAAATGTTTGAGCCGACGTGCAGCTGGGATCACGCGGCTTCAAATAAAGGAAAGCTCTGAAGACGGCAAACTCACAGGGGTAGCCTTTGCACAGCACCTCGATTGGCGTGGACATTTTCTTCTCACTGATGCGTTCGTACTTCTGCCTCTTGGTAGCGGCCTTCAGCCCCTGCCAAGGCAGCGAGCCCAGATTGAAATACATGAGGACGTATCCCAACGACTCAAGGTCATCGCGCCTCGACTGCTCTGTGGAGACAACGAGCGGAAATAAAGATGATGAAGAGGAAACGGGTTTCACTACAGCAGCAGAGTATCTCAGGTGGGATAAAGAGGAGCAGGAGTGTGTGGCGGATGACAAACAGGCTTGTTACCGATCCCAAGATGAGTGTTGATTGAGGCGTAGCGAGCGGTGCCAGTCAGGTTCTTGTTCTCGCGGTACGGGATGTGCTGGTGCGTGCGAGCATCTCGGTACTTTTTAGCCAGACCAAAGTCAATAATGTACACCAAGTTGCCCTTTTTGCCGAGTCCCATCAGGAAGTTATCCGGCTTCACGTCTCTGTGAATGAAGTTCTTGGAGTGAATGTACTCGATGCGACTGATCTGCAGTGGACCACAAACAAAGACAGACAGATTAGGTCCAGTGCAGCTCGTATCTGCGCCCGGCTTCATTCATGCATGCACGTGTGTGCACGTTCGTGTGTGTGTGTGTGAGCAGCAGGTGTGTGTGCACGTTCATGTGCGTGTGCACGTTCGTGTGTGTGTGTGTGTGTGAGCAGCAGGTGTGTGTGCACGTTCATGTGCGTGTGCTCGTTCATGTGTGTGTGCACGTTCGTGTGTGTGTGTGTGTGAGCAGCAGGTGTGTGTGCACGTTCATGTGTGTGTGCACGTTCATGTGTGTGTGTGCACGTTTGTGTGCACGTTCGTGTGAGAGCAGCTCACCATCTGGTCAGCGAGCAGCAGGACCGTCTTCAGGCTGAACTTGCGAGAACAAAAGTTGAAGAGATCCTCCAGGCTGGGTCCCAGCAGCTCCATCACCATCACATTGTAGTCGCCTTCAGCTCCACACCACTTTATTGTTGGGATGCCCACTGCAACCACACAGAAACAAATGCGTCTGCAGTCACTGTCTGATGGGTTTCTCCTGCTGGCAGCCTCTCCACTATCACCGCCTCCTGCGCTGCTCAGAATAAGCACACAGTGATGAAGGGTGTGTCCTCTGGGGTAACAAAGTGCTCCTGCTCTGATACTGAAACCTTCACTCACACTCAGCAGGGCTCCTGAGGCCCACACCCACGTAACAAAGTGTGATTCTGTCCTACTTCACTCCCTCCTTTAAATGTGGCGCTGACAAAATGAAAACTGGCGTCCTACTTGTGTATTGGTTTGGGCAGTCATTTCCACGCTCTAAAGGAAACTCTGCAGCATCTCTGCAATGTGTAAAGCCCACATGTTCCTGCAGGCAATCCTGACACTGGCTGAGCTGTGCTGGGGTCTCCTCTCAGACCTGGATCAAGGATGTTACGTCACAGGCTTACGTCACATCCCACAGGGTGTGATTTAGACTCAGGAACATGAGGGCAGCTAACGGGCGATCGTGGCTCAAGAGTTGGGAGTTCGCCTTGTAATCGGAAGGTTGCCGGTTCGAGCCCCGGCTTGGA